CCTCCTTTTATGTCCTCTTCACTTTTATTTTTAAATAATTTGGGAGAGATGTTTTAAGAACAGCAGCTAGCAGCCATTTTAATGGGAAGCCATTTTAAACTGGAAGACACCCATGAACCTTTCTTAGGAATATGAAACCTTAATTCATCTGGCTCTTTAAAATGTAGACTCAACTTTTTGCATGCATTTGAAAGAAAGGAGGGAATTCATAATGTCCATGGTCTCAGCAACTAGCTAGATTAAATTTGCTAATGGAGACAATTTGCTCTCTTTGAAGAAGTACTGTGTCCTTCCTTTAAAAAGTACAGCCTGGGGATTAGAATACCTCATTGTCTGAGTTCTGCAATGAGAGATAAGCAACATTCTGACAGTATTGGGTGGTGGGAGACTTTCTGGACCTACTGGTTTAGTTTAAATGCACCAGCCCTACAGATTCCCGCTCTCCTTTGAGACTTCATTTCTCTTTGATTATTTGTAAAGACTCTTATAGGTACACTTGGCACATGGAAACTCCCAAAACCCACTTGCAAAAGGAAGTGGACTGAAGTGCAAAACAGCCACAGATGTTTCAAATTGCTCTCTGGCCTTGAGGAAAACCACAGTCAGGTCATTAAAGCAGGTTGGGTTAGCCTCTGCCACAAAGGGAAGGGATGTGTCTACTCAAAGGGAATGAGTGATCCTTGACTCTCTGGAATGAATGAGTGATCCTTGGCTTGGAGAGCCCAGTTCTTCTGTAACAGAAAGAGTGGTGGCATGAGAAGCAGGTGTGTGTGTCTCCTTCGTGCCAGGACTTTGGTTCCTTAGGAAGTGTTTTGAGTCTTACAGTTTGTGATACTTGATTGCTCCTTGTTTGCCAGCTTTACCTAACACACTTACCTTGGTGATATTTCGAATCAAAGTTCAAAGCCATCAGAGCAGCAGAGACAGGCTACATAGCCAGCCAGCCGAAGGTTCTGAGCTCAGCTCAGTTGCTGATAGGCAGGTGGTTAATGGTAGGATGACCTTGGGCATCCTCTCTTCACCTGGCTTCTTTCCCCCTGGAAGGATGATACTGTGCCTCCTCCCAAGGGTGAGTGTGAGAATCATTGTGTGCTAAGTACCTGGGATGCAAAAGAGTTTCAGTGCAGAGTAGCTGTTATGATTATGCATAAGCCCGTCCTTCTGCATGCATGGGCAGGTTTCCACTGCGCTAAGGAGTTTCTAGGGGCATTCCAGGGGATGTTGGTGCTAAAACTGGGAGTCTCAGGAAAACCGATGATTTATCACCTTGTTTTGAGGAAACAACTGCAATGAATCCCAAAGGCTTCTGCTTTCAAACTGCTTGTGATTTAGTGTGGAGATGGCAGGTGCGAGGAATTCAAGCTCCCAGGCTGTGCTCCTTTGCAGTGGCAGAAACTACTAGGCCTCACACCTTTCTTCCCTGAGTGAGCTGCTACCTCTGAAGCTTTCCCAAGGCGAGCTCCCAAGATGCTGCCCACTGCCTGAGCTTAGATGAAACTCGTCTGACCCCTTACAATGCCTGGGTTTCCCCAAATCCCCCCCCTTTCTACAAAGTTCTCAGAACTACAAAGTTCTCAGTTTTGTGATAATGGAATTCAGTTAGGTCTCAGAAGCCTATTCTACTAAAACAGTTTCACAGTCATTTATGAATTTTTTAGAATCCTTATTAAGGCCTTAGCATTTTCACTAGATGGTCAGGGAAGAGTTTACAGCCTGGGAAGAGTAAAGGGAGAGAATGAGTTACTATGATTGGATTGACCTAAATGCAGAATCAAAGGACTTGACACACAGCTTCTTGGCTCTAGAAGAGCTTTATCACTCACAGGTATTTTCAGGAGATTGTTGAAGGGTATTGGAAAACGAGGACCATTTTCTTCACTTGGGATGATAAAGTCCTGGAATGAATACGGACTGAGATAAAATACGGCTGGGTGGGCCTTTGAGACTGCTTCGCCAGTTCCCTTAATTTAGTTGCTGGTACCTTTTCCAGCTCAGTGGCTTGAAGATTGGAAAAGATCTATGTGTAAACAGATGTAGGCACAAAATCTGAACTTCTCAATGCTCCAGAAATCAGAGACACCATCTTGATTCTTTTTCCCCTTTAATTTCAAAATATTAAGGGCTATGAATATCTTTCTTACATGGATACTTTGTATAATGCTCAAGTCAGGACTTGGGGTGCCTGTCCATAGAACATTGCAGCCAATATGTAGGTTTTTACCCCACACTGCCCCTCCCATCCTCCTGCCCTTTTGGTTTCCAACGATCTTTTGGTTTCCAATGGTGTTTGCATCTCTTTGTGTCCAGCGTGCCCATCACTCAGTGCCCAGTTAGTAGTGAGAAGGCATGGTGTTCAGTTTTCCATACTTGAGATACTTAGAATAATGGTCCTCTGGGTTTCATCAGGTTGCATCCCATGGAGTTCAGCTCAGCCATAGAAAGGAATGAAACAATGTGACTTGCAACTCTCCTGATGGACTAAAGGGGGTGAGGCCAGAGAAGAACTTTCAGGAAGTAGCTGGACACTCAGATGTGTGAGCGTATCAACCAGCCGTCCCCCCTCCTTTCCCTCGGGAAGTCTTTCCTGACAGGACTCAGTCATAGCACTGCCTTTCCCTCTGTGATTTCCTGGGCTGAACAGAGAAAGCACAGGCTTTAGAGTCCTGGACTGCTTCAAACTTGACCTGGCTATTTTCTATCTGTGTGACCCTGGAGAGGTGATTTGACCCCTCTGAACTTCATGTACAAGACATTTGCACCCCCAAGTTGTCATGAAGATTAAATGAGATGCAGAGCACTGCATGATACACATGACAGGTGCACAGTAGACGTGTGACCTCCATTCTTTCAGAATTTTATGCTCTGTGCTTTGTCAGCACATCCAGCCTTCCCTGCCTGCTGAGCATTTATGCACGTGGCCCTTATCCCAAGTCAATTGTAAGCAGCTCCAGGATGGGGACCAGGTACATGCTGAACACGGTTCTGGGCACAAGCCACATACCCAACAAATGCATTTGGACCTAACAAACGCTTACCAACCTTCAACAAGCTTATTAATGATTATAGAATTTTAATAGGCTGTAAAAGCAGGAGTGGACCATTCATAAGTAAATGGGTTCATTCACTACAGTACATTCCATTAGAGGACCATTACATGAAAACTAAAATCATGTTTTTAAAGAATACTTGATGAGGTGGATCATGGTACATTATTTAACGAAAGGGGCAGAGTGTGTAATTGTCTACTCTGCGTATGGCCAGTGTTGTAATGTATGAGATGAGAGAAGATGGTGGGGATATGGATCAGACTATTAACAATGATTATATCAGAGTAGTGGAATTACTTTCTTTTTTTTTTTTTTGTTCCTGTTTGTTCAAATGCTCTGCAATTAGCTTGTATTACTTTACAATTAGACACCCAAAAAAAGCCTAGCAATTTTTTCTTTTGGAAGATGGAGGGGATATTTCATTATAAAATGAATTTCCTAAGGATGGTGCGGATTCTGCTTTAGGACAGTTGATCTTGATGGCCCTGTGGGTTGTGTTAGTCTATTGCATTATATTGTCAACTCAAGGTTAAAGAGAAATGGAGAGAGAGAGAGAGAGAAAGGGTTTCCTTCAGGGATTGGCCCACTCATTTATAAATCCTCTTGTCAGATGCCCTGGAGACCTGAAGGTCCTACAGGGGCATCCTTGTTTGTTCCATTACCAGCAAGTGGAGAATCAGGATCTCTGGCATATTCTTAAAGTGAGTGGCAGAAAGGTATCAGACACCCCTCCCAGGCTGGAGGACCCATGTGCAGTCTGCACACCCAGCCTAAGAAAGTGGTTCCCAGGCAAGATGGCACGCCGTCATTGGTGAGCTCTGTGACTTTTAGCACACCGTTTACTTGCCCTAAGTCTTATTTGCAAAGTGGGGGATCATAACCTCATCTTGCTAGTAGAGACTGGATGTTTCTGTTCTCCTCAATTTATCTATTGAAATCCTGACCCTCGGGTGTGCCTTTGGGAAGTGATTAGGTCATGAGGGTGGGAACCTCCTGAATGGGGTTAATGTTCTTATAAAGGAAAAGGGACCCCAGAGAGCTCTGTCCCCTTTTGATGTGTGAGGGTACAAAGAGAAGTCAGCAGTTTGCAAGAAGATCCTTGGTTGAACCCTGACCTTGCTGTCACCCTATCTCAGCTGTTCAGCCTCCAGGCCTTGAGAATGAAGTTCTGTTGTTTATAAGTCACCCAGTCTATGGTATTTTGTTACAGCAGCCCCAAGTGATGAAGGTACCCTCTGGGACATGGCAAAAATTCAATATTGCCATTCTTGTCCACCTCCTAACTCAACCGACAGGAGGAAATCATTATCATGACTCTCATTAGAACAGCATGATTTCATGAAAGGATCCCAGGCTTTTCCCCTGAGGACCCATGTTCAAAGCTCACTTCATCATTTATCAGCTGTGTGACAAAGAGCGTCACTTCACCTCCCTGAATCTCAGTCTTCACATCTGTAAAATGAGCTGCCTACTTCCGAAGGTAGTTGTAAGCAAGAATGCGTGGAGCGAATGCAGCAGCCAACTGCAGCCGGGCAGGTAGTGTAGGGGCAGGAACTGGGCTGAGCGTGGATGCTGAGGAGAGCGTCCGGCAGGACAGCCTGACCCTGTACCAGCCAGCTGGCACCAGCCAGTCATTCACAAGTGCAGAGTATAAAGCCCAGGCCAGGCTGCTTCCCAGCGTCCCTTAGCTGCAGTGCAAGTGGGGCACACCCAGTGAGTTCAGGAAATGAGTCTGGGCTCCCGTTGTCTCTCATTGCCCGTCTGTAAGTAGTGAGCCCACTGACTATAACTTACGTGTAGGAGTGTGTTCTGTGTGCGTGGTGAACCCACTTCACACCGGTTTTATAATCTACCCCATTTGGAGTCCGGACCATAAATCGTAGCTCAATACTTCCTGAAACTGTGGGCCGACTGCTACGCACAGACTCAAACAAACAGCCGGATCCGCTTGCCTTGGTTATTAACACAATTTATTATTGGCACACTTACCAGTAAAGCATACATAAAATACAGCTGTTTATAACACACAGAGCCACTGGTGTCTTTACATGTGTGGGGGAACATATTAATAGGCAGATGGAAAAATTAGTTCTCTTATAAAGTTTCACAGAAATACACTGGAATCGCCCCCAAAGAGAAGTCCCCATGAGAGAACCAGGCGAGGGCTTTACAAAATATCATACAAGAAATATACTGTGAAAAGAAAGGATGGCCAACTCAGATACAATTAAAAACACAAAAAATCTTCAGGTTTATTCAACTGCCCACAAAATTAATGGATTACATGGCTTGAAAGTATTTGGATCAACAGCAACTTTACAAATGCATCAATTCTCAAGGGTCCAATTGTCTTTCTGTACATAAAAATCTGCCCTGGCGTCTTTGATGACAAGAAGACATTTCTTGTTTTAGTACCAGGGCTGTATCCCGCCAACACCTACCCAAGCACGGATTGTTACCAGCTCCTCCATAAATTCCCTTGCTGGGCCCCTTGGCTGTTGCCCACTGAAAGCAATACGTGAAGGAAAACCAAGAAATAAAGGTACATTTAAATTACTTTCCAAAGCTGATTTTTTTTCTTTTCTTTTTTTACTGAAACAAGAAACTCTCAGATGCAAGTCAAAAAGCAGAAAATATTTTACAATATTAAAAAGTCATTTGTGGTTAGGTTCGGCGTATTAGTGAGATCCTGAGCACTGAGCATTTATGGACAATATGGCCTTTGTTTGCTGCATACGAAGGAAACTCAGCAAAAACACGCTGTTAAGACCGTGCCAGGAGTTGCGCTAATGTTTTTTTCTCATTTTAATTACGATCAGTGCCAGTATCTGTCGGACCTGTGAAGGCCTCCACGGGAGGGTCATGGAAGCTTATTTGGAATAATCCTTTCACTTGGGAAAAAAAAAAAAAAAGAAAGAAAATCAGATCACTGTGGTTTAGAAATAAATATGTGCACGGAAAAGTTTTTATTTCTCCTCTTTCCTCTCCTGTAAGTAAAGATGTGCAGGTTTAATGGTGACCCCCTAGTGACGGTGGATCTGGCGCGGGTCGTCTTATTGGGAAGTCTGGGGTGGAAGGTTTTCTGATTTGGTCTCTTGAGTGGCGGGAGGTTTACTGTTCCACGGGCTGCTGTTCCCCAGGGCGGGTGAATTGTTGAAGTCCTCCTCGTCGTCCATGCCGTTGGCCGCATCATACTGCGTGTTTTCTAATCTAGTGATTAGCCTTTCGTCCTCGTCCCCAAACTCACCTCCCATCAGAGTTGGCTCTCCTACCACCATCACATCCTGTGAACAGCAGCTGACATTATTACAGGGAAACCTTGGGAGAGAGAAGCTCAGCTTAAAACAACAGTGGGAGGAGCTGGGGGACCTAGGACACACACACGCGCGCGCTGCACAACGGGGTCAAGTTCAATGTCGGGGGCCGAGATGCATATTGGATTTTTACAGGAAATAAACATCGCCTCCTGACGGGGAACAACCACGCGAGTTTATGTCCTTAGTGAGCAGCCTGACACCGGAGAACGAGCAATGCTAGCAATCTGCAGAAATAAAAAAATGGATTTTTCAAAATTAAAAAAATCCACGCTTTTCAACTTGCCGACACTGGGGACTTTTGAGAGGGCAGTGGAACCTTCAGCTGCGTGCTTTTCAATACCTCCAAAAATCCGCCATTTTTATTTAGGGCCTGCGAGAGGCTTTGGATGCTAAACAGCCACCAGGGGCACCAGCGAGCTGAGACTTTGCAGTGATCACAAGACCCATTCCAAACGGTATTTTCTCTGTCCCAAGGAGGGTCTATGTTTTAAATGAAGACAGAATCTCTCTTTTTTCTCTACTCAGCCAGGCCCTTTTATGCAGCCAATATCCTTGACATTCTGCTACTTAATTATGGTAATTAATTTAGGTAAAGTTTTCGATAAAAACAATGTTCACACTGATTTGACAATTTGCATAGCTAATTAAGTCATTAGCAAAAACCTGCTGATTGCCAACAAGCCCTGAATTTACCATCTGTTATTTCATGGTGCCTGTCACCTATCCCCACACAGGCAACCCTGCCACCCATCTGGGCAGTAAAGAGAACCAGTCTGTCCAGCTGGAGCCATAAAAGGAAGATGGAGAGCACTAATTATAATCACATTGATGAAGCTGACAGTCATCGGAGATAGGAGTGTGTGAGAAGAATCCACCTAGTCCGTCCTGTAAGTACAAATTGTCCTTCCATGCATACAAGGAAGCCACCTACTATAGCTGGGGACACCGGGGAGGCCACAGCTGGACAGGCAAAGCCATGGGGAGAAAAATGCCAGGACAGGGCAAACTCCAGGCTCTGTATACATGGTGGGTTGAGGGGGTGACCTCTATATGGGACAGGACACCTGGCAGGTGGATTCTTCTGGGCAGACTCCAAGCAATACTCTACTGAAAAGTGCAGTAACTTCAGGAAATTGGCCAATTGCTATCAGTCTCCACTGAACTCAGAGGAAGCAGGGCTGGGCCTGATGCTTTGGGAGAGGAGAGGGTGGGGCTGGTCCTGGAAGGGAGGCTCATTCAAACACACTGACAACTGGGCAGAAATCTTTTCCAATGGACTTTCCCAGAGAAAGGTTTCTTGGAGGAGCTTACTAGAACATGTGGTCATGAGACAGGGCTGGCGGGATGTCCAAATCCTTTCTAGAATTTTGAAGGTGCCCATTAAATCCTTTAGTTACCAACTGGTGTGTTTTGCAAAGGAAAACCTTGTTTTGTTTATTTCCTCCCCTTTACTCCTTTAAGTTAAGGGAGATAGTCCATAGCTTTCCAAACTATGTTTTCTGACTGGTCACTAGTGTGAGTGGGTAAAAATGATTTTTTTAGAGAGAAATGTCCCAGACGGAGTCAATAAGTACAGAAAACGTGAAGCTGGTAAACCCAGCAATGAAGGTGGCAGCAGAAATTCAGATGTGTGCTTCTGAGAGCGTATTGATTATGCAAAGAGGAGGCAGAAGTGACAGCAACGATGGGAGGAGACTCACGAGGACTTTTAAGGTGAGATGCAAAATAGACTTTCTGACAGGCAAGAACGACAACAGGGATTGAGATGGAATGTGGCCACCACAGGGACACAGACACTACTCAGTGAGCCGGGCGGCTGCCTTATGACCCGTTGGGCGGTGTTCAAGATGAAAACAAAGGGCCACTTAGCTACAGGTGATTAGGAGACTGAGCTTATGATCAGGAACAGAGGTAGGTGGGAAGAATCAGGGAAGACTGGCCAGAGCATGACACGAGGGCTAATCTCATCTCGTGACTCGTGTGCTCAGCACACTCTGAAGGGCTGGGGACGCACATGCATAAGGTGTCACAGGTCAGGAGAGGGGTGTTAGAACCAACCATGTGGGTCTGCGTTAGTCTCGTGACTCCAAGGTCGTCAACAAAGGATGGGAGGGGATGAGGAGGAGAAAAATAAGAAGCAGCCAACTTAAGCATGATATTAGAAAGACAGTCCCTGACGCTCCAGACGCATTTGTGGTATTAGTCCTTCAAGAAAAGTACTCTGAAATCAGCGCTCTGCAGTGGAGCCAACAGAGGCTTCCCATATGTTTGCTAAATCTTTGTTCCAGGAACAGCAGGAAAAGATGCCCAGCCATAGGTGTTTTTAATCAGCCTAAATTTGCTTTATGATTAGGAAAAAATATCTTAGCCAATATACAGTTTTGGTTGTTTGAGTTTGTGTGTTTGTGCACCTGTGAGCATGATTGTACCGTGGGTGGCAAGCTAAGGGCTTCATTCCACTTAGATATTTGAGACCACTTACAACATCATGCGCATGTTTCTACTTTATTCTTCTAAACCTTCAGGCTACGACAGTGGACCTTTACCCTGGCTGTCTTGAGTTGTTATCTTCACACAAAATAAATGGAGACACAAAGCACAGTCTGGGCTGCCTCTAACTAAGGGATGTTAGCAGCACGGCCCCCACCCCCATATCTTTAAAATCCCCCCAACACTGGCAGCAGAGTGCATTTCCTTCCCGTCTCTATCCTGTGTGTTCCACGGGAGGCAAGAGTGGCCCACCCGAGGGTGGCTTGTGTGCCCTCGGCTCCCCACAAGGCCAATTTCTGCTCCTTGGCTGGAAGCCTGGAGGGGCCACCAGCTCTTGCCCGTTTCACATCTTCTCACTAATCCCCCGTGCAAGGACCACCAACCTCTGAGGAGGACTGGAAGTGACTCCTTTCAGGGCCCCTCAATGCTTCTCCTTAAATTGGCCAGAAGGGGTCACTGCTGTTGAATGACACAGGTCTCCATCCCTCCCAGGGTTGAGGCTGCAGTTCGGGATGGCTCCTAGCCCCTGCTCATGGAGTGAGAAGCAGAATCCAAGGATTAAACCCTAGTCCTCGCCAGACACACACATCTCTGCCACAGCAGGTACACTTTGGCACACGCCTTTAGACCAGGCAGCAGATGCCTGCAGACAGCATTTCTATTTAGCCAGTAGGATAGTGTTGATAATTCAGCAGATAAAGTTAAAAGATGTTGTCCCTTCAAGCATCCAAGGCTTATTATTTTACATCCATTCAACTCAAGGACACATAAGAATTTGCATATTTTCGTAAACTGGTTGTCTTCCCTGCCTCTCTTGGCCATCTGAGTTTTACTGAATTAACACATCTTCAACTGCGTAGAGTAATGATAAAATTCAATTTTTCCTTTCAAAGGATGCCTCGCTCAAGCAAAGTCCAAAGGGACTCAATTCATTAAAACCTCTCTGGACACAGGAATCGTCTACTAAAAGCAGTTATTGGTTTGAAGGAAAGGAGCATAAAAGAGTAGAAAAAAATGTGTGCTCTTTAAACTGAAATTATTTTGACTAGATGAGGTATGTCAAAATAAATGACACATAGCCTGCTACTTTCAACTTCTACACCTGTGGCAGACATCACTAATGGATGACCCCACAAACTCAGTCTAGCCCCTATAACCCTCCTTAATCCAGTGCTTTGTGGGCTGGCAGGAGAAAGAAAACCTCTTTGACAAACCTAGATTAGATGGTGAGCTCTTTAATAACAGGGCCCAAATCTTTTTATTTACTTATTTTTAATCTTGGTATTTCTAGAACCTGCAGTAGCATGGGGCACATATTAGGAGCTCAGAAACATTTTCTGAACTTATTGTATTCTTGCAACCACTATGCTATATCACAGTTCTAGAATTCTTTGAAATGTCTTAAACTCTAGGATTAGATGAATAAATGGACTACCTGTGCATACTTTTTCAGTTGACTTATTCACATCTATGCATTTTCCAATTTCACCAGGAGTGGCCATAACTTAACACCTTAAGAAAGAGCCTCAGTTTTTCCTTTTGAATTTTACCCCCTCACCTTGAGGGATGACAAGTATAAAGCCTATTCAGAAAATAGAAGGCTAGGTGGGGGCTATTTGCATTATCTGAGTCCTACAATTCCTAATGGTCTTAAAGTTAAAATGACAGTTCCCATAGTGGGCTGGCCTTTCCCTGTATGACCTTCATTCGAATGCAATGGGATGGAAATGATGCCCCTGCCCACAGCACTTGGGAGATAGGAGTCCCAGTGACCCTGGGAATTCTCAAGGTTCTGATGGGCCTGGTTTTGGCCAACAAGAACTGACATATGGAAAGTAGGTGCAAGTGGGAGAGGGCAGATTGGAAAGGCACATCTGGAAGTAGGTGGGGCTTTCTGTGTGATGATCAGTTCCTCCCTGTACATGATAGAACAGGACCAGAGCAAGAAGGGTGAAGATGATAGACCAAGAAGAGAAAAAAAAGTCTCTGTTAAATATAGAAAACATGGAGTTGTACTGGTTAAGGGATATAATGAGGAATAGGGCAACTTCTGAAAACATGGAATCTAGTGGGTTTTCATGAAGCACCAAGGAAATGTCAGGATTCAAATGACAGTCAAACAACTGGGGACAGGGTGAGGTGACAAGGGCAGCAGAGAAGGAACAGTGAAGGTTTAAAGGAGCATGGGATTTAAAGGTGAGAGTCAAACCCTGGACCTGGGAGTCAAGGGGCAGGAAGGAATTCAGAAGGGATAGAGTTGAAGAATTAATAGGAGATAAAGAACATTCCTGCAGAGATTGTGGTATTTGGGGACCACACTCCGCTGTCAACTTTGCAGTGTGAAGAAGCCCTTAGTGAAGACCCTCCATGGAAAGAAAAGGGTCAATGGATCAAGACAGTTGAGACCAAATCAGGGGCTGCTCCTCCCCTGAGCTAATGAGATGGGTGAAGTGAGAGCTCCCTGGAGCTGCGTTTTTAGTGGCTGCAAGTTAATTACCTGGGTTTTAAAATAAGAGGGGCGCCCATGTTGGGAGGCCAAGTCAAATTACAGTATGGAGACTGAGCGCCGGGAGCTAGCTTCCAGTGGAGCACGGGGTCTCCCATGATGGTGCCCAGAGGGCCACCAGACACACTGCTAAGTGAGATTTTAATTAAACCTTACGTGACATATCTCCTGTCTGTGACTCTGACGGCTTTTTAATTCAGGTCCCATTGCAGTGTGACTCTTAACATTCCTGCCTAATTCTCAGTTTGCAGGGGAAGGTTTCCAAGGCAGAGATTTCCCTCCCATCCCAACCTTTGTTCCTGCCTTTCATCCCTCCCTCAAACCACCCTTTCCTACTTTTTGTTGCTGTTGTATTTTTTTGCAGCTAAAAAAGACTTTACTTTGGGCCCTTGAGTAGGAAGCAGGCAAAAGGCAGGATTTCAGGCCTAACAGAAAAGTGAGACTTACAGGTACCTGACTGGACAGACTCAGGTTCGCAGCTGCAGTCTTCTTCTTGCCACCGGTGCTATTGGCGTTGTTGCCAGCGCTGCTATTTGATGTGCTGCTGGTGGAGTTTTTCCTTTTCCTCCGTTTAGTGGTCGGTTGCCTTGTGGGTTCTGCTGCAAAATGGAAGAGGGAAGGTGGGGACACACCTTAACACAAATATGGGGACCCATCATGTGTCTGGGGAAGGATGGATGCCAGCACAAGAGTGTCAGGGAGGCCATCAGATTCCTGTCCCTTCAGTGGGGCTGCTTTTTGTAAACTAAGGAGTA